GAACATTTTGGAGGACGTCTTTCTCTTACTGTTAACACATGTCCCATCCACTTCTTGGTCCAGAAGCTCCATAATCAGTGTCCCAACTCAGGTCTGCTGGATCGTTTCCGTGGTGCTTCTTACTGATATATATATAGGAATAGCTGTGTGCCTCATTGCTCTTAATTGCTCTCATTTAACTGTGATGAGTAATGCTTGATGACAGTGATCTTTCCATAAAACAACCTTCCGATTTAAAAAGAGTCTTCACAGTGTTGCTCTCTGCCTCTGCATCGCTGTCAGTTTGCTGCAGAGGACGAACAAACATAAGTTATTAAAAAGTACATTTTAAAGATGTGTATTTCATATGTTTTGTGTAAAGAAACGAGGAACAGCAGAGATGTGTCTCCATTTCTCTTCTTTTGGCCATTTTCGGTTAGCTGGTGTGGCAGCAACAGAAGCATCCGGGATGCTGATGAGGACAAAGTGTAATGTTGTGGAAATTTATAAGAAGGAGTACATTTTGAATCAGATTGCTAATAAGTGAATAACTGTAATGGATACCACATGAACAAAATCATGTATTTTATACATTTACACTTACATTTTCAAACGCTAATCTCTGCATCATATAAATTAGACAAGACTAGAAGGAGTAAAAAGATGTTATACACAAGGTGGAAGAAAATGCCAATAAAAGGGAAATAAAGAGCTCCAACCAAACCACTGCTATAAATATCTCCAGCAGCATTAAAGATGGCGCATTTCTTTACCTCTGATGAGACGTAGAAGGAATTTCCTTCTCTGCCACGTTTTGTTTGTGTAATTTCTGTTTAGAAACAAGAAAAAGACATCAGTAATGGCATAAAACAAACATACCAAGTGGGTCTCCATGAAAGTGTCCAGTTAGAATTTGGTATTATTTCATTATTTATCACTTTAGTGAGCTGTCAGCTCATGAAGCAGATATAGGAATATCTTTAAATAAAATAAAAACAATTTATTCATGCCTTAAATTGAGTTTTAAAGTTTGTCCTATGAAATACAAAATCCTTCATTTGGTTCTGATCAAAATTCAGTTTTTACAGAAATCATCCATGAAGCTTCAAAATGCTTATTCACCATAAAAAATATTTAGAGAAACATCCTGCAAGTCTCTTCGAACTTACCTTTCTGTGAAAAAAAACGTTTAAACATCTTTGAACTTAATTTGAGGACATGGCTGTGTGCTAAATTGCTCTTAATTTCTCATTTAACTGTGATGAGTAAATGCTTGATGACAGTGACTCTTTCCATAAAACATACCTTCCAGAATTTAAAAAGAAACCAGCGACACTTTTTTTGTGTCTTCACAGTGTTGCTCTCTGCCTCTGCATCGCTGTCAGTTTGCTGCAGAGGACGAACAAACTACGTTTATTAAAAAAGTAAAGTCACTTTAAATTAACAAGTGCAATTTAAAGAGAATGTGCATTTCATATGTTTTGTGTAAAAGCAAACCGAGGAACAGCAGAGGTGTCTCCATTTTCTTCTTCTTTTGACCATTTTCAGTAACAGCATCCGGGATGCTGATGAGGACAAAAGTGTAAATGTTATTTTTCAAAGTGCAAATTTTTAACAAGGAGTACATGCTGGAGATTGCAGAAAATTAATAACTGTAATGGAACAAATCATGTATTTTGTACATTTACACTCTACATTTTCAAACGCTAATCTCTGAATCAATAAATTATAGACAAGACTAGAAGTAGTAAAAAAGATGTAAATACAAAACACCAATAAAAGGGAAATAAAAGAGCTCCAACTCAACCACTGCTATAAATATCTCAGCAGCATTAAAGAGCGCATTTCTTTACCTCTGATGAGACGTAGAAGGAATTTCCTTCTCTGCCACGTTTTGTTTGTGTGATTTCTGTTTAGAAACAAGAAACCAACATCAGTAATGGCATAAAACAAAGTATATGGTATGAAAATACAAATCCTTCATTTGGATTCAAAATTCAGTTTTTACAGAAATCATCCAAGAAGCTTCCTTAAAAGTTTCAAAAATGCTTGTTTACCATAAGAAAATATCATAGAAATGTGCTGCGAGTCTCTTCAAACTTACCTTTCTGTGAAAAAGAAGTTTAAACATCTTTGGACTTGATGTGATCGCAGCCAAAATCTCCTCAGCTTTGCAAAAGTTCAACTGAAAACAAGCAGTCAAAGGTTGTATATTTATAAACTTTCAGCATAGGTTCATACCTGAACAGCAAACATCATCATTATGATGTATGGGGCAAATTTGCATATTTTGGAATGTATGCTCATTTGAACTGTATGGTGCTCGTCTCCAAGCAACTGCTACAAAACAGGTCAAGTCAAGTGGCTTTTATTGTCATTTTAACCACGTGCAGAGGTGCTGTACAGAGTGAAACGAGACAGCGTTCCTCCGAGACCCTGGTGCTATATATGACATATACGGACAAACCCAGGACTACATAAAGTGCAGTGTGCATAAATTGCAAAAATAAACAAGACAAAACAGTGCAAAACGTGACAGAACAGGACGAACAGACACAAGACAATGGAAATGTGCAAAATGCTGAGTATTGTGCAAAAGTAACTTGGTGTCTGTATGTATGTATATGAGTGTGAGATACTGCAGATAAGTGCTTGGTAGTGACATGTGTGAAGGTGTGCGTGTGCCAGTGCAGTCACTGAGTGTTCAGGGGTCTGACGGCTTGTGGGAAGAAACTTTTCCGTAGTTTGGTAGCGAGGGCCCGGATGTTGTGGGACCTCTTTCCAGAAGGCAGCAGGGTGAAGAGTGTGTTTGAAGGCTGTGTGGGGTCCTCCAGCAAGCGGGTGTTATAAGGAGGGGAGAGGGGCTCCAATGACCTTCTTAGCTGCTCTCACAATCCGTTGTAGGGTACTGCGATCCAATACGCTGCAGTTACCATACCAGACAGTGATGCAGCTACTTAGGATGCTCTCATTAGTCCCACTGTAAAAGGTGGTGAGAATGGATGGTGGGAGATGGGCTTTCCTCAGCTTCTGCATGAAGTAGAGACGCTGCTGGGCCTTCTTGGTTATGGAGCTGGTGTTGAGGGAGCAGGAGTGGTTCTCCCAGGTGGACACCAAGAAATCTGGTGCTCTTGACGACTCCACAGAGGATCCATTCATGTTAAGTGGGCAGTGATCCCACTGTGCTCTCCTGAAGTCAACGATCTCTTTTGTTTTGTTTTGGTGTGCTGGGGAGCAGCACAGCAAAGAAGGACTCATCCAGGCTGGAGAAACTGATCAGGAGGGCTAGCTCTGTGGTCGGCATGAAGCTGGACACTCTGGTGACAGTGGCAGAGAAAAGGACATTAAAGAAACTGATGGACATTATGAACAATGCTGGGCATCCTCTGCACATGGCCATTAACAACCAGAAGAGTCTGTTCAGTGACAGGTTGCTTCTCCCAAAGACAAGAACTAACAGACTTAAAAACTCCTTTGTCCCACACGCCATCAGACTGTTTAACTCCTCTCTGGAGGGGAAGGGAGGGGAAACAGGAGGACAAAGGAGGGGGAACAACTAAGCTGTAGTGCCTCTTCACCTCACTGTGCAATACCTTTTGTGCAATACTTTTTGTAAATAGTCAACAGTGCAATAGACTCATACTTGAAATGTGCAATTCACTGTATTTTTATTTTTTATTCCTATTTATTCTATTTATCCCTTCGTATATGCTGCTGTTTCCTCACAAGCTGCAGATCCCGTTGTGTGCAGCACCTGTGCATCATTATAGGTGAGCCAAGGATCTGATGTAGAGTGTGGACTCTCCTCGGATGGACAGAATTACAGATGCAGCAGCTGTTTCCGATGTATGGAAACCTGACACACAACAAAGTTTACAGTATCAGTGTAAAATAATTCATTTTGTCCAGGTTGGAAGGTGAGCTTTGGTCCTCGTGCACCACGTGTACTCACCTGAAGCCGTCTCTAGTCTGAATTTTATTTTCCATTATTTTCCACCGCCCAAATGTTTCACTACGCTACTGCAAAAGGTAAAAACACAAACACACAATTAGACGCTGAGCACTAGATGTGCATGTATGCTAGTGATGTGTCGAGTAATGGAGGGGGCGTTTCCGCGATGCACGTATCGAGGCTTGCTTCATTTATGGGAGGAGCTGAAAATGATGACGTCCGAAGCCTCGCTGCCCGGCTGTACCACGTGACTGGTTTCATGAAGTGGTTCGAACTTTGCCGCGAGATGTGACAGCGATACAAACCCCTCAGACTTCAATCAAAATGTGGGTGTTTGATGGAGAGCTGCGGTTAGTGAGAGTTGGAGACAGCTGGGAGGCAGTTTGGAGGTTTATGAGAGTGAGGAGAGAAACTCAGGAGAGAATGGAGCCAGCTAAGAAGAGGAGGATGTCCTCCCTGTGTGGGAACATTTGATCTTATTCCTCCCAACAAGGTATTTCTACAGAAGATGTATTTTCATAATACTGATGGTGCAATACAATTTATGTTAAGCTGTATTTACTTTTGTACAAGGTGAAGTGTTTGCTATGTGCCCAGGGAGCTGGATATAACAACAACACCTCATCCATGCTTAGGCACTACAGAGCTTTGCATGAGAATAAGGGGAACAGCGATTGTTGAGCAAGACCAGGTGAGCCATCAAATGCCATGATAATAATAGCATGCCGTAATGTTACTAATGATATAAAATATTATACAACTGTAATAAGTTACGTGTGTGATATTTATATTTGTGCTTTGTTTTTATTGTCTTTCCTCAGGAGAACAATCTCAAATAGATGAAGACCTGGTTAGCATGGTGATTGAGGACTCCCAGCCATTTAGCATTGTGGAGGACAAAGGATTTATAAGATTTGTTAAATCATTAAATCCTAGCTATGTTCTCCCCACTAAAAGGTCATAAAAGCAGTGAAAATTAGTTTTACTGAATAAAATATGGCAGGACTGACGCCTCAGTGTGTAGCTGTCCATACCTCAACGTTACAAAAGCACAACCACTGTCCACACCCAACCACACCTCACCTCACAGTAAATGATCATTTCCATTTTAAGCATTTCCAAATATCATTTTCCATACTGCCAGTATAAATATACACAGTATACTGCATCACTACAATATACATGTTTTACACACTCCTTTTGTTGTTGACATTTACAGGCTGTGTGCAAAAGGCCACACTCTTCAAATTCATGCCAACTAATATTTTTACGTCCAGTAGGTGTCCTACTAGAGCAAATAAAGCTTCAAGAAGCTTTGCGCTGGGGTGAACCAATTGGATGAAAAGCTTCAGTGCTTCATCTGCCCATCACTAATGTATGCATGAGCTTTGAAATTTAAACATTTTGGGGGACGTTATTCTCTTACTTATTAAACACATGCTCCCATCCACTCTCTTGGTCCAGAAGCTCCATAATCCAAGTGTCCCAACTCAGGTCTGATGGCATTTTTTCAGTGGTGTTTTTAACCTCTTGGGAACTTTCACTACATTCCTTACTTGATGCAGAAAGAAGAAACGAGTCCATATCCAACCTTCAGAGCAGAGGCGATTAAGATCGGTATGGGTGTCACAGGTGTACCAGTCCGCCTTTTCTTCCAGGGCGAGAGGGTTGCCATTCTTGTTCGCAGAACTATTCCTTTTATATTCAAAACTCAGATATGTGATCCAGGTGGGAGGTTCATACTTGTTACAGGTACAGTCAACTCCACCCCTGTAGTCCTCTTGAACATCTATGCCCTAATTTTGACAACCCTGACTTCTTTAGTAAAATATTCAATCTTGTCTCACAATACAATGACCATAATATCATTATCGGTGGTGATTTTAATTGTTATTTCGATCCATTGTTGGATAGGTCTTCTGCGTCCCTGGCCCCAACCTTGAGAGCTGTTTCTGTACTCAATACTCTTACTAAATCTTTGGACTTGGTTGACATTTGGAGGCACCAGCATCCGTTGAAAAGCAATACTCTTTCTTCTCCCCTGTCCATGGCAGCTTCAGTAGAATTGACTATTTTCTTATTGATTCCAGGCTTATTTCGAAAGTGTTAGTTCCACTTATCACAGTATTTTAGTTTCGGACCACGCACCTCTCTCAACGGTAATTGACTTCAACCTATATACCCCCCAATACAATTGGAAATTTAACCCCTCTTTATATCTAAATGACTCTTTTACGGTTTACCTATCTACTAAATCGCAGAATTTTTACAATTTAATGATAATGGTGTAGTTTCAGACTCTGTTTTGTGGGAGTCCTTTAAAGTCGTTATTAGAGGCCATATTATTGCTTATCAAGCTTCTCAGAAGAGGGACAACTCAGGCTGCGTACTAATATTGAGGCAGAGCTGTCTGTGTTGGAGGAGAAGTATCGCGATACCGGGGCTGCTGACACACTTAATACCATTCTCAAATTGAAATATGACTACAACCACATGTTGGGGGAGCAGGTCATGAATTGTATTCGTCGATTAAAACAGAAGCATTTTGAGCTTGGTGAAAAGGCTGACAAGGTGC